CAGGAAATGTCTTTGTGCCTAGATAGTATGGGATCTGGAAACTATTATGGTATCGTAAAGCGCCTCGCCTCCACTCCAGATCGTGCCAAGTGCTCCTTGGCTGTCCTAGAGGAGCAGTGCCATCAACACAGTCTCTTTTAAACCCCTGAATTCCTTTCAGTCTCATGTCAGTTTTATAGCCACTGGAGAGGCCCCTGATTTACACACATGGACAGGAGAATGCAGTGATGCTCACAGTTCTCCTCAGCTTGTCATGCTTCCATATCAGTGCCTGCTGTAATCTGCTCCCCACTCGGGAGAAGTGCAGTATTTTTCTTCGGTAAAATTGCCGTAGATCCCTGGCGATAAGGCTGGATTTTATCCCTAAGGGTGGATTTTAATACAATTTAAAAAGTGAACTTGCTGCTGGTGAAAGAGTTGAGACTGAAGCTCTGCAGATTAATCTCCTCTGTTTACCTACAGAGTAAATATGGCATTGCTGGCCTGCAGGTCCATTTTAGTGAGGAGTGAGATAAGTTTGGTCTCCACTGGTTACGCTATGTTTGGATTCTCCTTTAAGGAGCTGATCCAACTAGTTGCACCTGGCTACCAGAGTGATCACTGGGATTCTAGTTTGGCAATTGTGATAACACATTTTTACGTGTTATGTGGAGACCTACCCCCTAGGGAACTGGACTGAGATGAAATAAAATAATGGTCTAAATCAGAGCTACTTAACTTTGGAAGCCCAGGGGGCCATAGTGATCCACAGCACATGCCGAGGGCCACAACTTAAGTGTGGTTGCATATACATGCAAATATATATGCAAATATATGTAAATAGTTTCTTTCACACTGATGGGCATGAATACAAAGATTAAGGAAGACTACACAACACACAGGCCCCATTTAAGTCAGTTCTCCTGATATTAATAAAATGCAATATGTACCCGATTTTCACCCATATGACAGCACTTTTAATGAGCAATGACAATCTAGGAATTTAACTATTAAAACTCATATCAACAGAAGACCATTATACTGACTACTTTTTTGTTTTGGCTCCCAGTCGCAGGCTGTAAACAAATGGGCCGCGGGCTGCATGTGGCCCACGGGACTCATGTTGAGTAGCCCTGGTGCTAATTACCTCTGGGTATGGTTATACTGTAAAGAAAAAACCCACGGCACTGAGGCTAGGTCTACACTATAGCCTTTTTTCAAAAAACGCTATGCAAATTGCACTCTGCAATTTGCGTAGCTTTTTCCGATTGCTTTTCTAGACGAGGCTTTTCCACCATTTGGCCCCATCTAGACAGGGCCAAATGGCGGAAAAGCCTCCTCTTTCAGAGGAGCCCTTAGAACAAGGTATAGAGGGCTCCCCGAAAGAGCGCGTTTGCGTTTCCACAAAAAGAAGTGGAAGAGCAAACGCGTTCCCTGGACGCGGCAGAGTTTTTTAAAGATATCTCATGGGGCTTGGGCCATAGCACTAAAAACAGGAGTGTAGATGTTTCCTATTAGGGTGGAGCGCAGGACCTGAAACCAGGCACCTGGAACATCTACATGACTACTTTTAGTCCAGCAGCCTGAGCGTGTGACCAAAATCAATTGAGTTGGACTCTGAGACTTGCTGCTACAAGTTTTTCTTTGCAATGTAAACATACCCTATTACTGCAAATTGTAGCATTTCTGTCCATTGCCCTTTGCAGATGTTGTGCAGTGCCGTGTGCTAAACATCTGCCACGTTCCACTCAAGAGGTAGCTGTACTTCAGCAGTGGATTAAATGAACTCTCACTCTCTCTCTGTAGGCTTGTAAAGCATTTTGGGTTCTTTCAGGATGCAATTGAATATATATGAGTAAGCTATTATTACTCATCATTTTATAATGGCTATATTTTAGTCTTAAGCTATCTTTTGCTTTCCAAGTAGATGTAGACATCCATTATTAATGAATTACACAAAGGTTGTTCTTCAAAAGATTTTAGCTGTGTCTTTGTCCATATATAGCTCTACTAAACTGTTTGGTGTAAGAGCCTGGGCAAACTTGAAATCATTATATTTGGATTTTAATCCTTGCTCATTCAGATAAAACTTACTGTGACGTCAGCGGGAATTGGTGTGAGTAAGAATTTCATACTCTCTGACCCCGGCAACTAACTGAGCAACCTGCAAGGCTAGTTTTATACCCACATACGTTAGTCCAAGAGCCAGGCTGAGGAAGGACAGGATTTATGCATTGCTATAAAATCCAAGTGCCTCTTTCATTTTTATGGGCATGCTGTGGAAAAGAAGCCAGTGTCAGATGGGCAGGATTTCCTTCTTTTATTTTAATTGTCAATGAAAGGTATTTTTAGTCAGATAATAAACTGCACTTGAAACCTTTGTCATTTTAACAGCTGAGTGGTGCCCTTTACCTGCCTGAATTATAATATATGACTGCTCTCCAGCTGAGTAGTCTACTCGGATTTTTTCCCCCAACAGCATAATTCAATGCAGTTAGTACAAAGTTTAATTTTCACATTTATTTCTTTACTCATGCTCAGCACTTGGGGCCCAACCCTTCTTTTTCCTTACACCTGTTTTTATAATGATATGACTGTCATGAATGTGCAGAGTTACTCCTCATTTACACCGGCATTTGGTGTAATTGGAATCAAGCCTTCCATGTCTAATTTGTACTTTAGTCCACTCCTTCTCTCTTTCTCATAAACTTAAATGGACTTTGCCAATTGCCTTTATCCTTCGAATGACTGATGGTAACTTTAGTTAATTACAACGTTCTTGCTGGGTTATGAAAGAATCTTTGGAGAATAATACAATTTCCTCTCACCAAACTGCATTAAT